TTAGAACCAATAGGAGGAACCATCAGAAAGAGGAAACAAAACACAACAGAAGAAAAAAATAGGAAATAGTCTGCTTCCATCTGCATTCAGACTCTAGAGTTCTTTCTCTGGATTGTGAACAGCATTTTCAATCCTGAGACTTTGGGAGATGTCTTAGATCCTTGTATTGCTGGGAAGAGCTAAGTCTACCAAAGTTAATGATACAATGTGGCTGTTACTGTGTACAGTGTTTTCCTGGTTCTGCTCATTTCATTCAGCGTCAATTCATGTAAGTCTTTCATATACCACAGCTTGTTCAGCCATTCCCCAACTGATGGGCGCTCCCTCAATTTCCAATTCTTGGCCACCACAGAAAGAGCTGCTGTCAGTATTTTTGTGCACGTAGCTCCTTTCTCCATTTTGATGACCTCTTTGGGGTGCAGCCCTAGAAGGGCTATTGCTGGGTCACAGGGTGTGTACAGTTTTATAGCCCTTTGGGCATAGTTCCAAATTATTCTCTAGCAGAATCATGTTTTCAAGTGCACAGAAAAAAGTTCATGGGATTCCAGAGGAAATGTCCAAACTGTGAAGCCTTGGGTGCTCAAGCACGATGGAAGGGCCCTCCCTGGACCATCAGCCTGGGAAGGATGGGCCAGAGTGGGGGGAGAGGGGGTGCTCCTGGGGTCTGGTCTCCGAGTGTTTGGGATCTGGCTAAGGAAGCAGCTTCTGTGCAGCTTTAAACATTCTTCTGCTGTCTAAAAAATAAATGTTAAAAAGAAATTGCTGTTTTAGATGCCATGAAGGGTGTGGCTTTAAAAAGTCCTTTTTCATTTGTGAAATAGGCCCGTTTTGCTGTTTTCCTGGTAAAGTCACTGGGATGCTTCTCGAAGACCAGAGGTGGGTGCTAGGTGGCCCAATGGTTAGCTGCTGGGCCTGGTCTCAGGAAGACCTGGGTTTCAATCTGGCATCAGGCACTTAGCTAGCAGCAACCTTGGTTAAATCACTTAGCCACTGTCTGCCTCAGTTTCCTTTTCTGGGAGGTAGGCATTATAATAGTGCCTCCCTCCCAGGGCTGTTGTGAGAATCAGAGGAGACCGAGTTTGTAAGTGCTCAGCATCCTTTAAAGCATTGTATCAGCGACAGCTGTATGCATATACCCAGATGGAGATTTCAGATTAAAGTGGGCGAACCAGATTAAAATGCTTTTGGGAAGCAATAGCCACACAGTGGGTGCCACATTTTCAGGCTAAGTCAGCATGGGCCTGTAGAGATCCTTTTGTACACATCTGTGGCTGCCAGGCCACACCCTGGTGACCGACCCTGGCTCCGGAGGGATTAGATGCTAATCATCCCGTTGGGGAGCAGCTACACCCCAGACTCAGTGGGGGAGTTGCAGGTAAGGGATATGTCTCTCTCAGTGCAAACCAGTGAGGGTTCTGGGACACCGAGACTGGGCCTGACTGGTCCAGAGACGCAGTATGAGTCAGATGCAGGATTTGAACTCATGGCTTCCTGAGCCTCCTATTCTCCCATCCTGCCTCTGGGGCAGAGCCCTCCCCCCACCCCCACCCCACCTAGTCTGATAGGCTGAGGTGGGTGACTCATACTCCTTCCAGCTGAGGGTGAGTCACTGGTTCTGGCTGAGAGCCTTGGGAGCCTTGGCCAGTCTCCTGGGGTGCACCAGGCAGTAGATGCTGAGACAGAAAAGTCCAGCCAGCCATAGCCCCCAATTCAGCAGCCCTCCTTGGAGGGGAAGTTCTCACACATTTACTGTGCTTGCATCTCCAGACACCCAGGCCGAGTCTCCTGAGGTGTGTGAGTGTCTACGTGACTGATAGTGAGCGAGATAAGGATAATGGGAGGTTAGCTAGTGCGTAGGCAAGTGTGGAAAGCCAGCTAGTCCCTCCCCCCCATTTTACAGATGAGGAAACTGAGGCCCAGGAAGGAGGAGAAACTGGCTTAAGGCAGCCCTCAGAGTAAAGGCAGAGCTGGACTCCAATCTCTGACTCTAAACCCCACCCCTCCCACAGCCTGCCTGGGTGAAGCCACATGTGGGAGAAGAGGGTCTGGCTTACCTTCCTGCCAGGCTCCTGCGACCAGCCCGGCCCCTGGAATGGCCTTAGAAGGCTGCCTGGGCTCACAGGGTTTCTATTGGCTGCCAGTGAGGTCATGGCTATGGCGACTGTCCATTAACTAGAGTCTGTTTACCTTGTCTTTATGTACGAACTCCATTAGGCAGCATCCCTAGGCAGGACCATCAGCATATTTCTGATGGATTATGTGGCTGCTGATGTAGCCTGTGAATCCCGCAGGCAGCAGCTCCCGCTGGGAGCCCAGGCCTGGGCTTGTTCCTAAGGCCACTGGCCTGGCCTTTCTGCTGAGGCCCAAGCTGCCCTGCATCCTGCAGGGACATGCTGCTTGTATCTGTGTGGCTTTGCTGCTGCCGCCGGTGTGATGGGAAACATTTCCTCCGCCCCAGACATCCTTCCTTCGAAAGCAGAGCTGTTCTGCCTCCTGGCATCTCTGCAGGTGCCAGGAGCAGACACTCGTGCCCAGGCCCCCCACTACCCCAGACTTGGTGTGTTGGGACCCCCTTCAGCCAGCACAGGGAGGAGGGGACAGAGCGAAGCCCCCCAAGGGAGCTGAAGGGTCAGGCTTCCAGAAGCTGATGTTTAAAGGAAAAGGTACATGTCAAACCACTAGAAACAAAAGTGAGACCCTTGGAGTCTGGCTGGAATCATTGTGGCCCCCAAGTGTAACAGAACATCTTTGTGCTGTGAGAAAAGGGCGAATGTTGAAATCAGAGACTTGGAAGAAGCCTTGCGTGGACTGGTGCCAAGTGAAGAAAGCGGGATGTGAAGAGCCACTTGATGGGGTGCAGTGTGTGGAGCCTTACCTCCTTAAAAGTCAGTGACCCTTGGTACCAGATCACTCCCCGCCCCCCTAAAAGTCAGCGACCCTTGGTACCAGACCACTCCCCGGCCCCCTAAAAGTCAGCGACCCTTGGTACCAGACCACTCCCTGCCCCCTAAAAGTCAGCGACCTTTGGTACCAGACCACTCCCCGCCCCCCTAAAAGTCAGCGACCCTTGGTACCAGACCACTCCCCGCCTCTCAGGGCCCAGGCTGGCCTGCTGGGCCCCTCTCCTGAGCTTCCACTCTGCCCATGATACCTCTGGCAGTCACATAGCTGCTTCTTTGGCTCACTTGTTCCATGTGTTACCAGAGACCCTTGGTGAACCAGGCTGTGGAAGGAGCCTGGGTAGAACTTGAAGCCGTCTGTCTCAGAAGGGTCTCCTTGAGCTAGCAGGGATCTGTCTGGCAGAAGGACGAGGCTCATCTGCCCTCTTCTTGGAGGCAGAGGTGGCTCACCCGGTGAGGGTTTCTCTTTAAAGTCGTGATCTAGTTCACGTGGCTAGACTGTGTTAGAAGACACCCACGTAGCTGAATGTACAGGTCTAGGCGCATGGAATGAGCCCCAGGGGCCAGTGGGGACAGTCAGGAAGAACCCCCGGGGGTCTGAGTAGACGCAAGGTCATCTCGAGTCAGCAGCGTGGACCCCATGAACTGGGTCTCTGGGCACCAACCCTGTCTTGAGTGTTGAGTTCAGTTCTAGGGGAAGCCGCTTCTCACTGCTGGACGTGCTGTGTGGATGTGACTGCTGTGGCCCATTGGCCTGTTTGTGGTTTCTTCGCCAGCTCTGCAGTCACTGCGCCGCTGTGTCCCAGCATCCATTTTTATGCCTTAGGCAGGAGTTGCAGCGAATGGGTGGACTCCAGTTCAGTCTGAGACAGCCGCCTGACAGGGCAGCCCAGCCGCTGGAGGCTGGCGTCCTTTTTGAACACCCCATTTCAGGGGGACTTCAGGGGTAACGAGGTGTCTACAAGGAGGGTGAAGCGCCTCTAGCTTTGCCCTGCCAGCGTCTGTGGAAGGAGCCAGGGATGTTATGCCTGTGGGGAAGACTCGGGGTCACGGCAGATCCTTTCGAGTACTTGAAGGGATTAGATTTGGGCGCTGGGAGCTCCAGGAAGGGGGAGTGTGACCCCGTGGAGGAAGACCCTTCCCCAATTTATTGGGACAGCAGGATGGCCAGTGGGAAGAGCACAGCATTTGGAGACTCCCACCTCCTACCCAGGTCACCCTGGGCAGATCCCGCAGCTTCTCTGAGCCCCGGGCTCCTCATTGCATAGAAGGAGGCAGCTGAAACCCCTTTGAGCTAGAGCTTGGTCTGTGCTGCATGGCTCTGGCCAGTCAAAGCATGCCGTTGTTATTATTATCTCCAGAAATGACAGTCCCCCACTGGAGTCATGATGCAGCGGAAGGGATTCCGGCTTGGGCATGGCTGCCGAGAGCCCCTCCGCCTCCGAGGTGGTCTGCTTCTGCCTGGGCTCAGCAGGTTCTAGGATTGTCCAAGCAAAGCCCCGAGGGCTGTCTCTCAGATGCCTTGAGGAGCGCATGGGCTTTCTCCTCGCTTCCCACTCTCACTTCCCACTCTCCAGAGCCTGGGACATGCATTCCTTTGGTTTGTGCTCGCTCCTGCGTTTCCATGTCCCAGAAGAGAACAAGCATTGTCTTGTGGTCAGCAAAGGCCCATGAGGGGGCAGGTGGAGTCGCTGCTGGCCTCATGGGAAGGTGGGATGGGTATCCCATGCAAAGGCCACTGTGCGCAGGTGCTGCCCTGGGTGTTGGCTTAGGCGGGGGTTCTCTGGCTCCACATTCTCATGGATGAGAGTTTACAGCAACTCATCAGGAGGGTAGCCTGGGTAACCGGGCACATGTGCCAGGAAGCGACTCTTCTGCCAGCTATTCGGGGCCCCTGGCCTAAGCCAGTGCCATCTAGTGAATGTCCTGTTCATAGGCGACCTGGTCTCCTTTGAACAAAAGCATGTTCACATGGTATACATGCATGTGTTCTGAGGCTGGGGGGATAATGCACCTGCACCGTAGTGAGGCTCCCGTGCACCAAGGAATGTGAGGACCAGGCACCTCCTTCATGCTCATGGGTCTTTCATTTTCTTTCAGGTGCTGAAGCAAAGCCTGTTTTGTCCAAGAAAGAGAAGATGAAGCTGCGACGGGCCAGGTGGCTCCAGAGTAGGTGGTCCTCTTATTCTGCCTGAGATGTCTGGGATGGCAGCAGGGGTTCTGCTCACACCTGCGAGGTGCTGGCACCCCAGCACCCTGGCCAGGCCAGGCAAGGGGAGGTGCGGGGCCCTCCTAGACTTGGTCGTTAGGACAACTCCTGGCGGCCTAGAAGGCCAGGGACATATTCTGTCTTCTAGAGAAGGAAGGTGTGTGTGTTGGTGTGTGCATAAGTGTAAGTACATGTGTGTGATGTGTGCATGCGTGTGTGTGTGTGTGTGTGTGTGTGTGTGTGTGTGATGGGGTGGGGCTGTAGACCAGCTCCCCCCTGCTGCTGTTTGCATCCTGCCCTAACCCTGGATCATCCTCAGCCCCTGGGCCCTGGATTATAAGGGCAGGGGGTGGAGAGACACTCTGAGCAGAAGGCCTGGGTGACCTCTCCAGGCCTCTAGAGTCTTGCATTAAGGTAAGAAACTTGAGAGAAAGGACTTGGTTTATAGAAGAAAGCCTCGGGGCAGCTAGGTGACCAGTGAATAGAGCTCTGGCCTCGTAGTCAGGAGGACACGAGTTCAAATCCAGCCTCAGACACTTAATGCTTAATAGTTGTGTGACCCTGGGCAGGTCACTTAATTCAGATTGCCTCACCAACCAAAAAAAAAAAAAGAGAAGAAGAAAGCCTTGTGCCTTGCCTGCAAGGCCCACTCTTGATCCCTCTGAGCAGTCCCTTCCTCCTCCTCATGGACTGTTCTGTGAGCCGTGGGTGTGCCAGAGTCCGTACAGATGTGTGATACGGGTTTAAAGAAGTTCCCCAGAGAGTCTAAGGAAGTTCCCCGGAGAGTTGGAGACTCTGGTGTGTTGGCTCAGGCCATTCGGCCCAGCCTGAATCTCATCTGGGCCTCCCTGTGTCCTCTGTCTGCAGGACGTGGCTTCCTGGGCCCACTGGCTCCTGATCTGGTATTCTAGTGCATCCGAGCTGGAAGGGGCCTTAGCAAGCCTCCAGTCCAAATGAGGGCCCTGAAGCCTAGTGGCTCAAGAGCTAGGGTCAAGATGGGCACCTAGCCAGGGCTAGGCTGATTCCACTGTCATCAGCACCACGGACAGCACCATGAAGGGCCAGGCTGGAATCTGGCAGCAGCCCGGGAAGCTCTTCCCTTCGGGGAAGATTTGCAACCCCCCTCAGCCAGCCAGAGGAAAGGCTGGTCCGAGGGGTTCTCACAGGCCTGGCGCTGCTGCTGTTTGGGGTGGGGGAGGGAGGCCTGGGCCGTGCTGAGTCACCCAGGATGGGGCTGGAGGGAGGGAGGCCCCGAGATGCAGCTGGTCCTTGGGCTCCAGGTGAGGGTTCAGCCAGATTCCTGCCTCCTTGCAGGCCTTGCGTGGAGCTGCGGGGGTGCGTTAATTCTTCCCATGTAGGCGCTCCCCACCCCACCCCAAGCCCAGATTTGGGGCCTGAGTCTAGAGGGAAGTAAAGGTGGAGAAAGAAGTCTGGGAGCCTTTGTCTTCTGCTCCCCTAAGACTCGGGAGAATGCCGAAAGGTAGGCCCAGAAGAATGGGCAGGCAGCTGCCCTGGGCAGAGTTCCAGTGGGGGAGCCCCCTCTTCAGCATGTTGCTCAGTAGCCAGAGGGTCTGACCAGGCCGTGGCCTTGCAACACCCTAACCCTGTTCTTCTCTGTCTCCGGCCTATGCCCCTTCATACATGACTGCACACCTGGCAAGAGTTGGGACAGAAATTGAACCCGCACCTTGTTGTTGGAATGTCCAGAAGGCATGAGAGAGCAGAAGAGGCAGGTCAGGGTGGGGAGCCCTCATGCCGCAGCCCTTTGGGTCGGACTCCTGTGATGCCCCCCCAGGGGATGTAGAAAGAGCATTTCCATTCATAGAAAAGAGAGAAGCTGGCGAGGAAGGGCCTTGCCTGAGGGTGGCCTGTCGGTGCATGCCTCCGGAGCAGGTAAACGGAGGGACCCCACTTGATGTAGAAGACCTTTAGAAGGCTAGAAATATTCCACTGGTGGAACAGCATTGGTTTCCAGAAACCTTTCCAAGGCCCCACTGTCTGCACAAAGAGGGGCACCTGGAGTTTGAAGATGGGCCAGAAGACCGGCCCTGCCCCCACCCCAGGCATCCTCCTCTTCTGCAGCTTCTGCCCCAGGGGCAGGGGCAAGGCCCAACCCAGCTCTCCTGCTCGGGGAGGTCTCTGGGGCTGCTTCCTGCCCCACCTCCCTCTCAGGTCCTTCCCCCACACTCCACAGTGGCCGATCGGTACCCTACATGGGCAGCTCTTAGAACTGACGTGTGCGTGGCCCAGGCGAGAGGCTCGGCTCGACCCCACGCAAGATAAAGCCAAGGTGGACCAGGGAGTCTCGTCCAGTCCCTTCCTTTTCCAGATGAGGAAACTGAGGTCTAGATAGGTGGGGTCACATGCCCATGATCCCAGCTCGTGAGGGGGGAAACCTGCCATTCGAACCCAGCGCAGCTGGGCCCAGAGCCAGTCTTCTGTCCAATGAAGAGTTTGTTCAGAAGTGGTTCCAACCATGTCCCTTCGAGAATGCCAAGGATGGGCCTTCCTCTAGCACGAGCTGGTCCCAAGGCTGCTGTTGGCCCTTTTGCCTCCTCATTGACATGACGCCTGTTTATGCCTCTGCAGCCTTCAGACCAATCAGTGCTTGGCAATGAGGGCAGCACATTTACACACAGCACTTCACCAACTGAGCTCACTGGATCCTCAACGACCTTGAGAGATGGGGGCTGTTGTTGTCCCCGTTTGACAGATGAGGAAACTGAGGCAGACGGCGGTGAAGCAGTTTGCCCAGGGGAGACACTGCTAGGAAGGCAAAGTGGGGCTTCATTGGCTCCAGGGAGGGGCCCTCTTCCCCATGTTTGGAGTGTGTTGAATGCTGTTGGCCAGGGCAGGCTGCCGTCCCCTCCAGAGAAGATGCTGTTGGGCTCATCTGTCGAGTGCCCCGTCTGTGGGAGGGTGGAAGACAGAAGTCCTGAGGTTTCTTGGGCCATTCTGTATTTACTTGTTCATGGTCACTGGTCTGCGCTTGGGAGTTCATAGTCACACGCTGGTAGAACCAGTCTGTAAGTGCTAGCTCCACCTTCTGGATGGGGCTTCTTTCTGGGGTGCTCCCCTTCCTGCTCTCCTCACGGAGGACCCTTCCCACCCCTGTACTGCCCTGCACGTGGTGGCCAGGGTTCGGGAGCTCTCGGTGACACCTCCCTTCCCGGGCTGTTTCTTCAGCTCTTGGAAGCTCCCTTTCTAAGGGACCCGCCCTTCCTGGGCAGGTTGGCATGGTCACGTTTTCCTTTTATTTTGGACTTGACAGACACCAAATAAAATGAGACTTTCCATATACTAAGTAGAGAGAGGAAGGAGGATTACCTGCAGTCTCTGCCAGGCTGCTGCTCACTTTTTTTTTTTTAAGGGCATGGCAAACACAGCCTATGCCTTTGAGAGCTGCCATCCTGCCTGCCAAGGATTTGTCTACTGGCTTGCTGACTGGCCTGGGGTGCTTTGCACTTCCCTCCTGTTCTCTCATGCTTTCTTTATAGACACTCCGGGGACTCTTCTTTCTTTCCCGTGTTCTTTCTGGCAACCCTCACAAGCCCATCCCCAGTCTCCCCCCTTCACCAAGAAGGAAAAACAAGCCCACCCCCTGCCATAAATGTGTCTCCCTTGAGCAAGACACACCTCTGTTGAAAAGGTTATTGTCTTTGGGACCATACCCATTTAAAGCCATGTAAAGAGAGAATCTCATCCTCCCAGCCAATAGAACTCTGCCTGTGTTGAGTTTCTGGTAGCCGTGAATCAGATGTCACACCAAGGACCAGAGTCATGCCCTGGTCAGGGTCAGGGACTGGAGCTGGGATGCAGTAGAGGCTGAGGCAAGATGGCAGCCCCAGGCCAGGCCCAGCAGACCAGGCAGTCTCTAAACTAGGAGCTGAGTCATGAGCCTGGCTAACGGTTGAAGCCAAGGCTGGTAGGGAGTGCAGACCAGAGCTCAGGGGCTGCTGTGAGGGAGCTGGCAGCTGAGGTAGAGCCACCATGTAAGAGGGACAGAGACAGGATGGGGGAAGGAAGGAAGGTGAGACAGAAAAGATGGTGGGGGTGGAGGAAGGAGGTGAGAGAGACAGAAAGGATGGGGGAAGGAAGAAAGTGAGAGAGACAGAGGGAGGGGAGGAAACAGAGAGAAAGGATGGTGGGGGATGGAGGAAGGAAAGAGATGAGAGAGAAAAAGGGAGGGGAGCAGAGACTACCCCCATTTTCCCTGAGAGCCTTCCCCCTCCTCCCCTCCATTTTTGGCCTGGTGCACTAGCCTGAGAACCTTAACCAGCCCAAATGTCCCAGGGCCTAGACTCTACATTCCATTCCAAGTCGAAACATGTTTCGGGATTATCTCCCCGATCCTCAGCATGCAGGATTTATGAGCTCCTCTACCCGCCTCTTACAGGATTCATTGCTGCTGATATTTCTTCCCACTGTCCCCATATTAAATACAACAGTGGGCAGAGATGGAGCCGGTGGGAAGCCAGGACCTTTGGGAGGGAGGACGGGCATTCCTTGGGCTGGCAGACCTAGCAAAAATCTGTTCTCAAACATCAGGTGTTTGAGTTAGGGCCCAGGCAAAGACGCACAAGTTCCTTTGCAGGGCTCCCAGAGCTGGGGGATGGCCTGTGGACCGAGTACCTGCCCTTGGGCCACCGGAGCAGAAGAGGTGGGAGGGAGGCCAGGACTGCCTTGGGCAAGACTCCCAGTCAGCCACCACTTACTTGACGGTTTTAAATTCATTTGCTATTCAATCATTTGGGGCCCCCTGAAGGCTTGGAACCCGGCTGTGCCTTATGGGGAGGAGAGGGCAAAGATAAATCAACAATGATTCCTGCCCTCGAGGGTCTTATAGTCTACTAGCAGACATGACATTTGTATGCAGTAAGGGTGAGCTTGGGGCCAGGCTTTGCTGTTCTGGGACTGGGGAGAGGAGTCCAGGTTGGCTTCCTGGTGGAGGTGTCAGTGGGGATTTAAGGGAGGGGGCAGGGCTGGGAATTCAGCAGGTGCAGGGGGAGGGTCAGGTGCATGAGCAGCTGAGGGCATGGCTTTGCCTAGACCGGAGCCAAGTTTTAAACAAAGTCTCTCCTGCTCTTCTCATGGAGAAGATGGAGCCACTGGATTGAGAGTCACATGGTCTGCTTCCGAATGCGAGGCCAGATCCTGGGGAAGTGGTGACGGTGCTGTGGCAGTGGGGTGGGAGGTGTCAAGGGCTCTGTTCACCAGTGACCTGGGGAAAGGTTCAGATGCTGGGTCAGCTGGGAGGGAGAGCTGCCTCAAAGGATTTGATGGCGCAGGCAGGACCCAAAGGAGCATCAGGCAGAAAAGCACCAGGTGAAAGGCACCAGGATTCGTGTACCCCCGCAGTACAGGGTGGGCTGAGCGCCCAGGTTTGTAGGAACAAGACTCGGGGTATCGCTTTAGGCTGAAGTGGTGGTAGGAACTTGGCACAAGCGGGTCCAGCTGTGGGCACCAGGGTTGCAGCAGGACACTGGGCAGCTGAAGAGCAGGTGGCAGTCATCTGTAAGCATTTATTAAGCACCGAGCTGTACTGTGCTAAGCCCTGGGATACAAAGAAGATAAGACAGGCCCTGCCTTCAGGAAACTCCCACTCTAATTGGGGGACCTGGGGAGGTGGACAGGGAAACAGCCACACAGACAGAAAAGCCACAGACCTGACAAAACGGAGGCACTGGCCTTCAGTGCTGCTTCTGGCAAAAGGTGGAATGGAGGTGGAGATGAGGTAGAGGGAGCTTTCAGGCCTGGGGGAACCACAGAGAAAATGCCCAGAGGCCTTGGGGGAGGAGCAGCCAGGAGGATCAGGGTCCCTGGATTGTGGGAGGCCTAGAAGGGACTAAGGTAGAAGAAGACCAGAAATGGGGCAGGAGAGGGGCCTTAGGAGCCAAACTGAGCATTTTGTGTTTGCTTCTGAGCCGCTGAGGAGCCCCTGGAGCTACTGAGCATTGGGGTGGCCCCCTTTGGGTAGATCTTTGGCAGCTAGGAGGATGGGCTGGAGCCTGGGGGGACTTCAGGCAGGCAGGGAGCGCGCCCCACCCCCAGCCACAGTGGTCCAGGTATGAGGTGAAGAGGGTCTGCACGTGGAGGGGGCCCAGTGGGAGAGATGTCCCATCCCCCCCACACCCCAGCACCAACTTGACCGGGACGGGTCACTAGGTGGTGAGCCTGGATCACTCAGAGGGTGACTAGAATTAGAGTTGGGGCTGATGTTTGGAGCCTGCTGTGTATCAGGCACTGGGCCAAGTGCCATGCAAGCACAGTCTCATTAGACCCTTACAAACCCAAAGATGGGTGCTGTTGTTATCACTATCCACAGATGAGGCAGCGGAGCTGAAGGGGCCTGAGAGTGGTCACCCAGCTAGTAAGTGCCTGAGGCTGGCTTGGAACTCGGGTCTTTCTGCCTCCAGGCCTGGTACTCTATTCTCAGCCTAGCTGCCTGCTATGTATATCCTCAGGTATGGCCCAGGTGACTTGAGCAGGCAGGCTCCTGGCTCTCCCCAGCCTCTGTCCCTTCCAGGTCCTTGGGGACTTTGTGCATGGTGGCATCAGGGGAAGTTTGGGGGAGGGGACAGGTGGAGAAGGCATCCCAGGCAGAGGCTACCGTGTGAGCAGAGGCAGGAAAATAGTAGGTGCGTTGGAGAACAGTTGAGCTTGGCAGGAGCCCAGAAGGTTGTGAAAGGGCAGCAAGGGCTGAAAAGGTCTCTGGGAAGGTCCGAGCTTAGAGATCAGCCTGTCCCCTGGGCCTCCATGAGGATGCCCAAGGTTATCCAGCTAAGTCATGGCAGAGCTAAGACCAGAGGTCAGGTTTCTCAGCTCTTAAGTCCACGCTCTTTCTGACTCCAGAGGCCTTGAATGCCAGGGTCACGAGTTCCTACTTGGAAGGTCTGGCCTGTGGCACAGTGAATGAGGCAGTAGCATGAGCAGCAGTGGCGGGTGGAGGCTTGTACAGGACTGAGGCTGGAAGAGAGGAGGGCTGGGGAGGCCTTGGGGGCTTCATGAAGGAGGCCGGATGATGGCAAAGGCGCTGTGGTGGTGTGCAGAGAGAGGGGGAGCTGAGAGGGATGAATGAGAAGGGCCAGAGGTTGGGGGCTTGTGAGGACCTGCTCTGGCCCAGTGGGGGCTGTGGCCTCAGCATCTCCCGATGCTCTCCTGGGGCCACTGGAATGCCTCCAGTGGCCCCTCTGTACTTCAGGTCACTCAAGGGTGTGGGTGGCTGGTGCCTGCCTCCTGTCCTTCTCCCCTCCACCTCAGGTGGCCGAGGTCCCAGCTGCTCCACAGGCAGTCCAGAAGTTTGGCGTCTGTCTTGGCCATCTGCCCCAGGGGCCACATTCCACGGTGCCCCGGAACAGGGCCTTTTCCCTGACACAGGAGGAGGCGGCGGTGGAGTGCGTGCTTAGCCTTCTTCCCTCACATGACTCACCTGTTCACTCCCAAGTCCTGCTTTAGAATCCTTGGGTACTGGGGGCCCTTTCAAGAGGAAAATGGGGGGGGGGAAGCTTTCCTTGCCAGGCTCTCCAGTCTCATGATCAAGCCTATAATTAAAAAGTGCACATCTGTGATTAAGGGGAGAAAATAACCTACCAAGCGTGCCTCTTCCCCCCCTTCCCTGTCCCCTTCTCCTTCCTCCCTGTTCTCTTCTCTCCTCTTTCCTCTCCTCCCTTCTCCCTCCCCCCTTCTCCCTCCTCCCTCCCTTTCCTCTCCCCTTCTCCCTCCTTCCCCTCCTCCCCCTCTCTCTTCCTTTCTCCCTGCTCTCTCCTCTTCCCTCTTCTCTCTCCCCTCCTCCCTCTTCCTGTTGGGGCCCTAGGGCTCAGGATACATGGCAGCAAGTAGAAAAAGGAGGACCCTGGAGCTTCTCAAGGGTCCTCTTGGCAGCAGCAGAGCCAGTCGGGAGAGGTGTCCGGCCTCCCATTGACTTTGTCTGATGGGGAGGGGGCGGGCCCCCTGTAGGGCCCTGATTCATCTCCACCCCCTTTCTGCTCTTCCTCGATTCAGAAATAGATGCGATCAAGGCGGCAGAAGAGACTCGCAAGGCGGAGGCGAGACGGAAGGCCACAGCCGTCGTGGGAGACCTGCACCCCCTCATGGAGGCCTTGCCTGAGCTTTCGGAGCTGGTGACAGCCGGCCAGTCCAGGAGGAAGGTCAAGAGGTGTGTGCACGGGTGGGTAGGTGTGACCTCATAGTGACCATTGGGCAGCCGTGGAGCCTGAGGCCAATGGCTGCACCCCAGTCTTCATGGCTCTGCCGCAGAGTGGGAAGGGCACTGGACTGAGGCTCTCGTCCTGGCTGCTGGGATCACAGCATACTCCCCTCTTTGAGCCTCAATTTGCTTATCCATGGAATGGGAGAGGTGGAGTCAGCCACCTCCAGAGCTGTGATTTTGGGAGCCATGCCTGAAAAGAAATGCCCACAACACCCCCAGCAGTTTCTGAGGGTCTGTACCATACCACACCCATCATCCTCACTTGGTGAATGTTTAACATCCCCTTCACACACTCAGGGGCACCTGCCCAGTCCTTGCCTAACCTCGGCACCGGTGGGGTGGGGTGGGGTGTGATGCTCACTGGCTCCCTGGGCCACACATTCCACTGTGGAACAGCTCTCCTCATCAGAGTAGGTTGTTATATCAGCTGGGAGGTGCCACAGGGCACAGAGTGATGGACTTGAGCAGGAAGACCTGAGTCCAAATCTAGCCATAGGCACTTAGTGGCTGTGTGACCTTGGGCAAGTCACTTGACTGTTGCCTACTTAGTTTCCTCATTTGTAAAATGGCAGTAATAAAAAATTAAATAATGTTTGTAAAGGGCTTTGCAAACATTAAAGTGATATGTAAATGTAAGCTGCTGTTATTATTATCCTCAGTCTCCAGATGAAGAAACAAGGCCACTTAGTCACTAAGCTGTTATTAATTAAGCCTCCACGTGCCACTTATGGTGCTAAGTGCTGGGCATACAAGGAAAAGCAAAAGAGTGGAGAAAGGAGAGTGTTGTAGGCCCGAAGGACACCAGAGACAATCCCTGGAGCTGAGAGGTAGACACAGCCAGGAGGCTGGGGACATGGGTTTCAAGAGGACATGGTGGGGAGTGAGGTGATAGGAGACTAGAAGGGGAGGAGGGGGCAGGGCACGAAGGGCTCTGAAGGCCAAAGAGAGGCTTTTGTGTTTGATTCTGAAGGCTATAGGAAGCCACTGGAGCTTATCGAGCAAGGAGGTGACATGGTTGGACCTGCACTTTAGGAAGATCAGTAATGCTGCTAGAGGATAGATGGGAAGGGGAGAGACTTGAGGCAAGCAGGACACACCCCTGCCCACCTTTCAGCAGCTATGGCAACCGTCCAGATGTGAAAGGAGGAGAGTCTGCCTCAGGTGGGGGCAGGGTCAGAGGAGAGAAGGGGGCATATTGGAGATGCTACAGAGGTGATGTGGACAAGAGATGCTTCAGAGGTGTTACAGACAAGAGGTGATACAGAGGTGACATTGACAAGAGGTGCTACAGAGGTGAAATCGATGAGATGCTACAGAGGAGACCTCGATGAGAGGTGATGCAGAGATGAGATTGACAAGAGGTGCTGCAGAGGTGACATTGATGAGATGCTGCAGAGGTGACATTGACAAGAGGTGATGCAGAGGTGACATTGACAAGAGGTGCTGCAGAGGAGACATCAATGAGAGATGCTTCAGAGGTGTTACAGATAAGAGGTGATGCAGAGGTGACATTGACAAGAGATGCTACAGAGGTGAAATCGATGAGATGCTACAGAGGAGACCTCGATGAGAGGTGATGCAGAGATGAGATTGACAAGAGGTGCTGCAGAGGTGACATTGATGAGATGCTGCAGAGGTGACATTGACAAGAGGTGATGCAGAGGTGACATTGATGAGATGCTGCAGAGGTGACATTGACAAGAGGTGATGCAGAGGAGACATAGATGAGAGATGCTGCAGAGGTGTTACTGACAAGAGGTGATGCAGAGGTGACATTGACAAGAGGTGCTGCAGAGGAGACATTGATGAGAGATGCTGCAGAGGTGTTACTGACAAGAGGTGATGCAGAGGTGACATCAACAAGAGATTATGCGAAGATGACCTTGATGAGAGGTGATGCAGAGATGAGATTGACAAGAGATGCTGCAGAGGTGACATTGACAAGAGGTCCTGCAGAGGACACATTGATGAGAGATGCTGCAGAGGTGCTGACAAGAGGTGATGCAGAGGTGACATTGATGAGATGCTGCAGAGGTGACATTGACAAGAGGTGCTGCAGAGGAGACATTGATGAGAAATGCTGCAGAGGTGTTACTGACAAGAGGTGATATCAACAAGAGATGGTGCGAAGGTGACCTTGATGAGAGGTGATGCAGAGATGAGATTGACAAGAGATGCTGCAGAGGTGAGATTGACGAGAGATGCTGCAGAGGTGAGATTGAGGAGAGATGCTGCAGAGGTGGCATTAACAAGAGATGCCACAGAAGTGAATTGAACCAGCCTTGGTGCCCTGTTGGATCTGGGGGAGGAGAGAGAATGAGGAGTCCAGGATGACTCCTAGGTTGTGAACTTGGGGGCCTGGGAGGAGGGCGGTGCCCTACAGTGATAGGGAAGGTGGGGCAGGGGGGATGTTCAGAGAGAAAGAGAATGAGTCCATTTGGGACACATTGAGGCCCCTGCTTTGTGTGTAAAGTGCTTGTTTGGGCCCTGCCCTTGAGGAGCCTAGACTCCAGTGGGGAGAGGGGAATGGCTTCCTGCTCTGCATTCATCTGGCATGTTTTCTCCTTCACCAAACATTTGTCGCCAGTTGGCCGTGTGGCCAGCATGGGGCGCAGAGCTGGCAGCGGCACCCTTCTCCCAAGGCCAGCTTGCAGAGGACCTGGAAAACAGCCCATGAGAAATCACTTTGGTGGCGGATGAACGTTCCGGAAGTTTTGTCTCCCATTGAGACTGAGGTCATCCGCACGCAGATGGGAGTCATCCTGCCCTTGTTTCCTTGCCCTTGTTTCTCTGCCCCCGCCCCCACCAGCATCACGCTGGAGCTTCTGGGGGGACGATGCCCCTCCCAGGAAGGACTCGGCTCGGTTTTCTTTTGGCGGGTACCAACGGCCATGGTGGTGGTCCCTGAGGATCTGTCCACACTACCCAAAGACCATTCATCGGCATCTCCCATCAGTCTCTTGGGGATGTGTTCTGATAACAGCCTATTTTAAGGGAAATCGCCTTCGGGGCTTTCTTGGAAACCTGGTGCCCCCCCCAGACAGCAGCCAGGACAAAATGTTTGTCCCTTTGAAAGGAGGGAGAGGTTGACAAAGCCCCAGGTGGGCACTTGGGGCCTGGGGAGAAAAAGGTGAGCTTACTGTGCAGGTGGGGAAGGAGGCAGAGGCCTTAGGGACTGAGGCAAGACCATCAGAGGCATCAACCAGTGTGGGATGGGCAGCTGTGAGTGTTGTGAACGAAAAGAAAAATCACCTACTGTTTGCTGCCTGGAAGTCCTGGTCTTCCAGTGTGTCTAATGCCCTCTGCTGGAGCTGATTACCATCCATCCTAATCTCAGGCTGAGATGTTAGCCCTGCCTTTTGCTTACCCCTACAAAGAAGAAAGACCCGGTGCACCAGAGGCCTTCTTCTGGTTCTCTGAATGTTTTGTGAGCGGTGGTATGGTGGGGGGGGGGTATGGGCATGTGTATTTATGGTGTATGTATATGTGTGCATGTGTAATTTATGGGTGTGTACATATTTATGTACCTGCATGCGTGTACGTGTGAGCATGTGGTATGTGAGCGGTAGCTGTGTATGTGCATGCATTGTGTGAGTGCAGTTTGTGGCATATATATATATGTGTGTGCATGTGTGGTAGCTGTGTATGTGTTTGTGAGTGTGGATGGTGTGTATATGTGTGCATGTGTGTTGTGTGAGTGGTATGTATAGATGTGTGTGTGGTGCATGTATGGATGTTTATGGTGTGTGTATGTGTGTGTGTGTATGATGAGCAGCGACGGGTCTGCTTCCATTTCTGGAATCTCGGGAGGGGTTTCTAAGACAGGAGTCGGCACAGCAGGGAAGTTAGTGCTTGGCATTCTGGGGGTGGTCATCACGGGCCTGGTGCCCTGGCTCCTCCAGGCCTGCCGTCCTGTGGGTAGCCACCTGCCGCGGGGCGGCCTGTTGCCTGTGGCCGTTCTGCGTCCACGGGAGACTCTTTGGCCTCTCCACCCCTGCCTGGTTTGAATTGACCTCCTGATTTCACATGAGTGACAGCAGGCGGGGAAGAGCCGAACGATGCCCTCTGGCCAGTCCTTCATCAGGGGAGTGACCTGTCCTGGGACCAGTCGGTGAGCAGGTGTCTGGGGACGTCCACACAAGCACAGGCCAGGCGGGGAGTGAAGCCAACAGACTTATGAGATGCCTACTACATGTCAGGCAAACAGAGGGAAACATAGCCCCTGCCCTCCAGAGCTTCTCCGGCAGCTGGCCATGGGGGAGATCCAGAAGGTCGGGGGGGCAGCCTGGAGAGGAGCAGCAGTGTAGCCGGCCTGGGCTTTTCCTCCTTCGATTTGGCAGGAACCAGCCAGTTGACAAAGAGGCTGCCAGGGTCCAGGGCACTTCCAGTGTGAGGAGTGGTCCGGCAGTGGAGGGGAAAGGGGCTTCGGTGGCAGGCAGGGTAGGGAGAGCCTGGAGGAGGTGGCTGGGCTGGGGATTCGCCCATCCAGGGGAAGCTCTGGGAGAGTTGGCCCATTCATTCTGGAGCAGCAAACATCTCATGAAGTGCCTACTATGGGCAGAGTTCTGGGAATGGGGAGACTGTGAGGAGCGGCCCTTGCCCCTTGCAGCTGCACCAGGAGCCCAGGAAGGAGGGGCTTCCCTGAGGGCAGGGCTTTGTGAACTTAGGGACCTCCACGCTCTCCACAGGGATCCTGAGGTGACCACCGCCTCCTGGCCCAGCAGGCCGTCAGGCAGGCCCCAGTACCCCTTCCTCTGTCCCCTCCGCTGTCAGGGAGTGGCAGGACCCCAGACCAAGGCTTGCAATTGGGGGAGCCTGGCCTCTGCTAGGGGGTGGCAGGTGTCCCCCAACCACAGCACACTTGGCACGTGCAGGTGAGTGGGCCCTGGGACAGCACAGAGGTCCCACTGCCCTGCACCCTCCTTCTTCCCACAGTGCCCCAAGGCAGAAGGCTGAGCCCACAGATTTCAGCCGCATGACTCCGGCCCAGAAGCGCAAACTCCTGTGAGTATGGTCAGGATCTCGCTGCCCCTAGGGTGCTGCCCGGCCGAGGAGAGGGGCCCGTGGTCATCCTTGCCAGCTAGGGGTGGGTGGCCCTGGGTTCCTGCGAGGTTGGCCCCAGAGTCCTTGGGGTGACCCTGGGACCTCCTGGACCCTGGCTAAGTGAACGGTCACTGAGGCCAGTGCTGGCTGATCTCTGCTCATGCCCTCTGCCCTCTGTGTGGCCCAGACTGGGTTCTGTGCTGTGTTACGGCCCTGGTCAGGGAAGACCAGGGGACCACCTGTGGAGCCTGGAGCCCATGGCTGGTCTCAAGATGCAGAGATGGGCTTGTCCCTTCCTGAGCGGGGTGGGAAGTCTTTGGGTTCTGGTAGTGGGTGTCTCCTTGGCATTCTCCAGAGTCGGAGCTTGCTCCCAGAGTCATCTGGTCAAACCCTGTCATTTTACAGTAGAGGAAACTGAGGCACAAGTTGGGGAAGGGACTCACGATCCAAGGTAGGCCCGGACGGGCCTCAGAGGCCATTGAGTCCACTGCTCCCCGCGTGGAGACGAAGAAACTGAAACCCAGAGTCACGGAATGTGCCCAAGGACACCTAGATCACCATCCCAGGGGAATTTGAACCCAGGTTCTCTGATAGAGGGTGTTGCCTTCCTGGCATGCACGTTGGCTCCATTGGCTGTGCCCTTGCCCTCTGGAAGCCCATGACATACCACAGGTGTGTGTGAGCATGAGTGTGTATGACTGTGTGTGTGTGTGTGTGTGTGTGTGTGTGTGTGTGTGAGGGTGCACATGCATGTGAGTGTGCATGGGTGTGTTCACTGCTGTGGGAGCGCCGTCGCTGTCTGCAACCTAACCCCAAGGGGACACAGACACCAAGTGCGTGCTTGCTTTTTGGTGGGCACCTGGACCTCGTCTCAGCTTCTGTTTCGTCAGTCTACCCGTGCTTCACCAGTGGGCAACGAGGGAGTGCCAGGGGCACAGAACCTCTGAAGCCTGGAGTCAAGAAGAACTGAGTTCAAATGTGCCCTGAGACACTTCCTGACTGTGTGACTCTGATCAAGTCACTTTGCCTCTGCTTCAGTTTCCTTATTTGCGAAATGGGGATCATCCCAGCCCCTCCCTGCCAGGGCTGTTGTGAGGGAGGCCATAATTATGAATTCAGGGATTTGCCCTGAGCCTGGTGCAGAGGAGCCCCTGGCCCCTCAGCGGAGGCACTGACCCATCCGGTTTGCTTCTTTCAGAGATGATGAGATGGTTCGGTTCCAGGAGGTAGTCGCCAGCCCTTCCTATCAAGCTGACCCTCTGAGAGCCATCGGCGAGCATCTCTCCAAGAGGCTGAGACAGGAGGAGGGCAGGAGGCTCTAGGTCCAGATGGCGGAGGCGGAGGCCGGACTCTTGTGTCTGTGTGTGGAGGCTGTGCCTGACTCCGGAATGCCTAGGGCTCCTTGTGCCCCTGACCCTCCAGCAAGGGAGGGCGGCAATGGTGGCCCAGTCCCACCTACCTCACAGGGATGTTGTGAGGGGCAGCCAATAAAGTGACCTCAGGGCTTCGGAAATGCTGTGTGCTCAGCTCCGGGACATCAGCTGCTGTGGCAGAGGGGGCTGGGAGCCGGCGCCTAGCTGTGGGGCTCCCCTGCTGTTCGGGGGCCGTCTGGACCCCTGGCCACCCCCTGCCCCCAGGGAGGCCTGTTTGGGGGCACCACCCTGCCTCTGGACTGGCTTCAGGGATGCTGGGGGGAGGAAGCATGGGCAGTCCGCTGCTCCTGAGGATGTGGTGGGTGGGGGCTCATGGGCTGGGAGAGCTAGCTGAGGTCATCCACGCCCTCCCTCTCATGTTTCCTCCCTTGGTCCAGAGATACCAAGCCACCAGGGCCTGGGGGCCTGCTGTGTGTTAGTAGACCCAGGACACTGTGCCCGGCGCTGGGGACGCACAGACCAGAGTGGTCCCTGCCACCCTCGGGAGCTTCTGGCCATACCGGGAGTTGGCATCCAGGTTGGGCGTCAAAGCCGGGTGTGGGCTCGTAGAAAATGGCCGTGTCGACAGGCGGCTTCTCCTGCTGCTGACTCGGGGATGTGGAGGGTGAGGGGGGCGGTCGGAGGAAGGGGGTGACCATCTGGGGCCCATCTGCCTTTGGGACCTCCTGGCGGTGTGACCCTGGAAGTCACTGCACTGCTCTGTGCCTCACTTTGCTAATCTGTAAAATGGAGTGATAATCCGTGTACTTTCCCCCACTTCAGGCTCTTGTGAGGGCATGTGTAGTAGCAATAATTATAATGATGATGGTGATGATGGCACCTACCACGTGCCAGGCCACGTCCCAAGCACCTTGCAGGTTTTGTCTTTATCACAGCTTATCACAACTCTGGGGGTAGATGCTGTCGTCCCTGTTTTACAGATGAGGAAACTGAGGCAGACAAGGAAGTGACTTGACCAGGGTCACACAGCTAGGTGGCATCTGAGACTCCCAACTCCAGGCCCAGCACTCTGGGCATGGTGGCCCCCCCAGTGGCCCCCATCAGCATAAGATGGTTTGTGGCCGAAGTCAGTGTGGGACTGGGGGAAGTGTTTGAACCTCGGACTCTCAGCTCCTTAGGACCTCAGGCTGGGGAAGATTTGGTGGCTGTAGGAGACTAGGCCTTCTCCCGTTTGTTTTATAAATGGATCAGCGCATTTACTGCCATTTCTAAAAATCAGAGGGGTGGGGAGCTGTCCAGGTCCTTGGGGTCACTTCCTACGGGCCATGTCCCAGGCATCCATTTCTCCTCTCGTGCCCTCCTGGGCTCCCTGGTTGGGTGGGTCTGCTAGCACGAGGGTCCTGCTGCCCAGACAGCAAAGCTGTAGGCAGGCCCCAGGGCATCAGGGTTGGGGGCCAGTGTTGGCCTCTTTCCTATGTGCAGAGGAGAGTAGTCCTGGCCCAGCAGGGGTATTGTGTCCAGCTGGTCTACACGGTGACGCCCTGGGGTGTGGTCCCCTCCAACAGGCTTCTGCCAGAAGGAAGGAGCTTTGGGAGTGTGACATGAGTATCTGACCTTTTCTTATTTTTAAAATTTGATTATTTTCAACAAATGAAAATCCACCTTCTCTTCTCCCCTCCCCCCCTTCAAAAAGAAAGTAACACAAAACCTTGGTAGCAAAGGCTCAGATTCCCACCTGAGCCTTTCCAGGAGGCTGCCCTCTCCATCGCCTGAGTCCGTCCCTTCTCTGGCCCGGGGTGGGCGGTGCAAGGCCCCAGCAGCCCCCTGGGACTTCGGGGGTTCAGCCTTGGTCAGGGTTCTTATGTCTCTCAAAGTCACTTTGGTATCGTGTAAATGTCTCTCCTGTTCACTCTGCATCAGTTCAGAGAAGTTTTCCCAGGTTTCTCTGACAGCCTCCCCCTCATTGTTTCTTAGAGACGCTAATACTCCATCTGAAAGCTGCCTGTTTGTGTGACCATCTACCCACTGGGGAGGATGGAGATCTACATCCAGGACGCTCACTCCCTTGCTTACTGTGCAGACTTTTGTACACACCGCCTCCTACTGTTAGGGACCCTTTTTGACTTTGAGGCCAAAAGGTCCATTCATATTCTGATTCTCTCTGTCCGTTGTTTGGCAGTGAAGTCTCCCTGTCCATAGACCTAAACCGTCCTGGTGGCTCCCGTTCCTTGGTCTGAGCCATTGCCTCGGCTCGTGGTACGAAAGGCTGGTCTAGACCTAGTTTCTGCCAGATTTGCTTCCCAGCTCTGCTAGCAGTTTTTGTTGAATCCTGCTTCTCGCTTCAGGAGCTGTGCTCTCTCCTGTGCTCGCTTGCTTCTGATGGGGTCTCTCACCTTGAATAATCATAGCAGATATTCAGCAAGAAGCAGGGTGGGGGTAGTTTGACCTTGAGCGCCAAGGCCGCGGTGGCTGACATCTTTCTAGCATCCTAAGGTTGGCAAAAAGCTTTGTGTCGTGTGACAGTAGCTAGCACTCACATGATGTGTCTCCTCGGAGCCTAGGTGCTATTATTCCCAATTTACAGATGAGGAAATTGAGGCAGACGGGGTAAGTGACTTGTCCAGGGCCACACAGCTAGTAATGGTCAGGCTGCATTTGAAATTGTTGGTTTCTGACTTAAGGTCTGGCTCTGTCTGTTGCACCACCGGCTGCCTCCCGTGCATTAATCAGGGTCAGTAACGAGTACTTACTATGTGCCAGTCACTGGAGACAGAGAGAAAGGCGTAAATCAGTTGTTGCCCTCAAGGCACTCATAATCTAATGAATAGAGGAGAGGACACATAAAAGGGGGGGATGATCTGGGGAGGTGAGAATTTCTGAGCTGATTTCATCTTACAGAATGAGGAATTTCTGGAGATGCTGAGGTCCAGGAAAGTTGCTGGGTGGGGAATGATGAGCAGAATGTCCTCCTTAAACAGGGGAGGGTCTGGGAGGAGCTCTCCAAAATCCATCTCCCGCCTCCCCCCCCCCCCCCCCGTGTGTGACGCATGGCTGTGGCTCAGTGCTCCTTCCTTAAAGGGTGAGGGGGTTCCCCAACCAGCCATCCTTGGTGAATGCTCAGTGTGCTCTGAAGATTGTCTTACTACCCAAGTCCTTTCTTTCCAAAGCTCTGCTCTGGTGTTGTGGCGAACGTGTGAGCTCAGGCACAGTGATGGTCCCTCCCCACAGATTCTCCATAGAGGAGCTGCCGAAGTGCTCCATTAACTGAAAAGACCCTTTTCCTCCTCATTTCTCCCCTGTCAGGGAGGCACTCTTGCATCTGCACTGTAGCTGCAGAAGACAGAGGGCTCTGGAGGGCAGAATGTCAGTGTCTCCTTGGACTGCAGCTCCATTTGGATTTGGAAGGTTTTTGGGAGGTGCTCAGAATGGGGTGGGGGGTGGGGTTCTTTAGCCACCATTCTCCAGGGTTCCCCCAAAAGTGCAACCCTGCACTGGGGCCAGTGGAAGGAGCTTTTGATTTTTCTCACGAAGAAAAAGTAGGCAGGGTGGGGTGGTGGATAGAGTCTTGGGAAGTCCTGGGTGCAGGTCTAGGTATCATGCTGCCCTGGCCTGTGGTGTTGGTGCCCACTTTGCAGGAGGTCTGTGTCCAGCGAGGAGGTAGCTGGAATGCCCAGTGACTTCTGGGGCAGATCCACTGGGAGGGAATGGGGTGGGGCCCAGACCCTCCCTCGGAAGTGCCTTGGGGGCAGGGGCAGGAGCTCACCACCCCTTGGGTCCCACAGTCTAGGGAAGCAGAGGGACTCTCACAATCATGTCTTTATTTGTATGAGACAAAAGGCATGAGATTGATTGCAAAGGAAACCAGTTGTAGTGAAATAGAGTTGTCAACATGAAAAAAAAACAAACCAAAAAACCAAGGTCATGGATCGCAGGTTAAAAACCCTGATCAAGGCCTATTCATGGACCCTCTCTGTCCCTCTGTCTCTCCCTTCCCCTCCCCCCCCAGTCTCTGTCTCTCCTTCCCCCCCCACTTCCCTTTCCTTCTCCCTGTCCTTCTCAATCCCTCTCTGCCTCCCTTTCCCTCCCCCTGTCCTTCTCCATCCCTCTCTGTCTCTCCCTTCCCCCATCCCTCTGTCTCTCCCTTCCCCCATCCCTCTGTCTCTCCCTTCCCCCATCTCTCTGTCCCTCTCTGCCTCCCTTTCCCTCCCCCCTGTCCTCCATCCCTCTCTGTCTCTCCCTTCCCCCATCCTTCTGTCTCTCCCTTCCCCCCATCTCTCTGTCCCTCTCTCTCCTTTTCCCTCCCCCTGTCCTCCATCCCTCTGTCTCTCTGTCTCTCCCTTTCCCCCTCCTCTCCACCACCCTTTCCCTCCCTCTGTCCCTCTCCATCCCTGTCTCTCTCCCTTCCCCCTCCCCCGTCTCTCTGTCCCTCTCTGCTTCCCTTTCCCTCCCCCTGTCCTTCTCCATCCCTCTCTGTCTCTCTGTCCCTCTGTCCCTCTCTGCCTCCCTTTCCCTCCCCCCTGTCCTTCTCCATCCCTCTCTGTCTCTCTCTGTCCCTCTGTCTCTCCCTTCTCCCCCCACCCCATCCCTCTGTCTCTCTCCCTTCCCTTCCCCTCCCGTCTCTGTCCCTCTCTGCCTCCCTTTCCCTCCCCCCTGTCCTTCTCCATCCCTCTCTGTCTCTCCCTTCTCCCCCCCCCCCCCCCCCCCGTCTCTCTGTCCCTCTCTCTCTCCCTTTCCCTCCCCCCTGTCCTCCATCCCCGCCCCTCTTTCTGTGTCTATCTTAAGGTGGTCCATCTGGGATCCTTCTCTCTGTTGCTGGCCCACTTCCTTTTCCATTCAGACATTTCCTGGACTAGATCCCTTACACTATTTCTTTCACGTAGCAAGGGAAACATGTGCTGCTCACTCTTTGTCTCCCGCTCTCTGCGTCACCTGCAACTCCATTCATGTGGAGTGTGGTGGGAACCGTCCTCGCTGCCTTTCTGTGGCTGCCCTACCGCATGGGTCAGCAAACATTTATGATAAGCATTTATTCCACCTGACCTTCCCTTGGCCTCTTCCTGCCTTTGGGTGAAGGGGAGAAAGGCCGACCCGTCGACTTGACCCACTGGGCGCCTGGCCTGAGCTGCCTAGCTCCGCCCTG